TCAGCTGATTGGCCAGAGACTGAGGGAAGATCTTCTGCAGGCGCATGGTCTGGAAGCGAGTGAAGGACGCACCTGCGGAGAGGATGGGATAATGTGGATCATAACCACTAGTGTTGTACCATGGCCATCGCTTCCGTTGGAAAAACTTCCGGTCAATGTGTCCGGGAAATACCGGCTAATTATAACACTGATCATGGCTGAGGTGACATTTGACTAAGTCTACCAAATTGGGATTTTGCTGTATGAACAAGCTGTTTTCATGTGCAGTCTTACCTATTCGCAGGTCCAGCTCCTGACGCACGTCGACAGCATCGCTAACGTTAGCGTCCGGCTCGATTAGCGTCTCACAAGCTCTCCGGATGGAGTTGGGGGTGATCTCAGAAAACTTTGCCCGTAACACTTGCATATTTGGCTTCACTGAAAAAGCACACACACTATTATTAGGAGCGATTTGTGGGAAAATAAATATAACTCTGCTACATTTTAAACGGAATAAATACGATATTTTGGTGATCGGAGCCACTGGATTTTATTTCAGGCTAAGCTAAGCTAACCATATTCTAGATCCAGCTTTATATTGACAGTAGTATCAATGTTTTCATTTAACTCTCAGCAATAAACATATTTACCAAACTGTTGAATCATTCTCAAAAAGGGAGATGAAATCCACACAATAACAACACAACAACTCACACATCACTATCATACCTGCTTTGCAGACATCTATGATTTCAAAGCCAATGTTTTCTCCCTCTCTGTCACAATCGGTCCAGATGACTAAAGCCTGGCACTGCCTCGCCTCTTTCTCTAGTGTCCGCTAGAGACAGAGAGGAGCGGGGGGAAGAAGGAGAAAGTAAAGATTTAGAGGGAATGATTCAGGTATATTTCTATTATCCATAATCATTATTACTGTCTCTGACTCCACATAACAAAATGGTACAGCAGCTCATCCTGTTTTTCATTAATACAGAGTTAAAACAAACTATCACAGTTACAGTTATTTAAAGGAATTTTTTAGATTTCTTTAAATACAATGTAAGGATTAATTTTTGTAAATGTATGCGACTAATGGGAGGGTACTATATTAGCATACCTTGATTTGTATCATGTTATCTGGACAGTACTTCTCTACCTCAGCATCATATAACAGCACAGGACTGCAACTGTACCTAAAAGGAGGAAAGGAACAAATACCATCAGTTGTTATGACTAGGGATGGGTACCGAGCCCCGGTATTAAACGGGCCCCGGGGCTGAATTATTAAAGACCGTGGTACCGTTAAGCTCTGACGTTATCGGTCTTTTTATCGGTACTGGAGACATAAAATATATCATGTGTATTATTGCTACACAAACATTATATTGCAGTTTTAGTGTCGCCAACTCCGTTTCTAATATGAAAAAAGACTTATTATTTTTATTATTTTCGATATCCCCCGTCTGTATGCGAGGGGGCGGGGCAGTTTACACACACGCAGCTGCTACATGCATGCAACACACACACACGGCGGAGATGGCGGAGAGTGCTCCGAGGTGTGGTTAAACTTTACCCGTCTCGATGTGGACAATACTCGTTGCCAAAAGTGCAATAAGAGTTTAGCATGTGAGGGCGGTAACACGAGCAATGTGTCTAAACATTTAGCAAAAGTGCTCCACATCCAGACGGAGGAATGCACCGGGTTCCACTGTCTCTCTAGCAGCTCTGTAGCCCCGTCCACGAGTAACTTTTCCACGTCAGGTGTTATGTGCTAGCAGCAACACACGGAGTTAACTACATTATACAAACATGGGTTAATGATTAGAGGTAACTGAGTTATTTATTTTGTTAAAGTTTCAGCTATTCTGTTTACAGTCTGTCATCAGATTATTTAATACAATTTGTTAAAACATGTTGTTTCTTTTGATGTGAAATATTATGCATTTAATTTAAATAAAAAGCTATGTTAATTTTGTTCACAATTTGTTTAGTTAGTTTACCTTATTTCTTTCTCCAAAAGAACCGATAAGAGTACCGTTAAAAGACCGGACCGATAAGTGGTATCGATAAAAGTAGTAGTACCGTTAAAACCTTAACGATACCCATCCCTACTTATGATACAGTGTGATGCAGGAAATACCAAGAAAATCAAAAAAGGAATCCAGTTTTACTCACCACTTCTGATAATGTGCTTGAAAATCCAGACCCAGTAAATGGCCAGATACCGAGGTCATTGTTACCGTCACATTCTGGAGATGGATGGAGATATAAAGAGATATTTAAAGCACAAAAGAACAGACTTATAGGTGCTTGTGTGTAAAGGTCTTGTACTTTTCTTATAACACTTACCTGGCCAAAGAGATTATATTCATACTCGTAGATTTTATTAAACTTTGACATCCCTTCTCTCTAAAATGGAAAAGAAGACAATCAGTACTGAAGCAGACACACATAAAAATATAGAAATCTTAGAAACAGATTCACATTTATCATTTATATTACTATGCTCTGATTTCAGGAGATATACAGTAAGGATACACAGTCAGGTTATACAAGACGTTACTCCATATGGATTATAACACATACGATTTATATTTCAATGTTATGATCAGGTTTATTATTCACTGGATTAGCCAAAAAAAATTAGGGCCAATATTTCTATACACAGTTAATTTACTAAGTCCGAACATTTCCACGAGACGTAGCAACCCTTCCTTGATATGTTGAGGCTCGGCAGTTACTAGTTACTTTTCCACATATAATACCACATACAGTATAAACTGATATGGTATAATGCAGTACTGAACTACTAATCTACATCGTATTTCTAGTATCTTAATTTGGGCAAAATACAACAATAACATGCTCTTACATGTTTAAAAAGTACTTTTGATACTTGAAGTACATTTACTTATATTATTCTGAAATGGGCCCCTGTCCAGAATAGTACTTTTACTATTTGTACTTTAAGTACTTTTACTTAAATAACATTTTGAGATCAGGACTTTAACTTGTAATGAAGTACTCAAAGTAGGGCTGCTCGATTATGGCAAAAATCATAATCTCGATTATTTGGGTCAGTAATTGATATCACGATTATTAAAAACGATTATCCATTTATTGAAAAAAAAAATGTTGAACAATATGTTTTTAACAGTTGATTACCCTGAACTTTAAGTATAATTCAACTTAAAACACAATAAAATAAATAAATAATAAAAATAGAATTATTATTATAGAATAGTAAATAGATTCTGTATTATTTCCATACAGGTTTATGTATTCAGTTTGTTTTGATAGATACAAAACCAAGACACATGCTTAAAGGGACAGTTTCATCCCACAGGCCATAAGAATGTTAAACACCTGAACTTTTGAAAGAACATCCATAACATTCACCTGTTTGCAACTTATATATATCAATATTCCAATTACTTGTATATAGACTGCACTATTTCTATTCTATTCTATTTGTATTTACTTGCACTATTATCTGTTTAATTGTGTTGCACTGTTGGGGGCTCCTGTGACCTAAGAATGTTATTGTCATAACTACACTGTGTACACATGACAATAAAGGCCTTGAATCAGTGTTCCTTCTTTAAATACCGTAAAGCACTGAATTATAGCACTATCTGTTAGTGTATGTTACACAATGTGAGAGAAGACAGGACTCACCCTCCTCGCGTTGCCATCAGACATGATGGCTGCGATGCTTTTAGCCGCATCGTTCTTCTCAGCCACGCAGAGGACCCTCCGGATCTGACCCCGGACCTGCCCCTGGCCCCGGTTCATGTCTGCCTGCTGCGGTGGAGGAGGAGGAGGAGGAGGAATGTCAGCCAGACACCGGTCACTCTGCGCCGCACGGAAACACCTCCGAATGACCCCGAGCCGCTGCTGTAATCCGGGTCTAAGCGGAGATCTACCGAGCAGCGCTAGCATCCCTACCCGCTCTGAGGTGCAGAAGCGCCGGCTTCCTGCACGCTGACCTCCGACTGAACTGGATCCACTCTGTTAGCATGTTAGCTCACCGGCTAAAGACATTTCATCCACTCACTAAACCTACCACACAGTTGTAAAGTTGTGACAGCTGTTGACAAACTTCACTCACAACGAATTATAAAGTTAGAAAATGAATTCCGGTCTATCAAAAGTCTTTAATTAAAGGTTTAAGAGAAGCAGCATCGAGCATCGACCTTATGGACCAACTGTTAGCTCTGTTTACAAATTCCGCGCTCGACTGTCAAATAGTGCCGTAAAACTGTCGTAAAACTGTCGTAACGACAAAACGTCTGAATAAAACCAAATATATAAAAATTAATGTACAGTAATTTCATTATTTTAACTGATTGATTGATGCATACATGGTTGACGTGTTTTTATATTAATAATACGTTTTTCATAATAACTATTACAGTGTAAATATTAATGTTTCACTAATGTATTTCTCAAACAGATAATCCACCCTAAATCCAAAATTGTCACATGTACGAACCAAGACAGTAACTAACAAAAAAAGGTATTTAACATAATTTCCTCGGTATTTTTCCTACATTTTTACCTTTTTTAATTTTAGACGTCGTTTTTCTGAAATGTGAATAATTTCTGGAATGAATCCACCAAAACAATGTTATTTGCAGCATGGAGAGTGTTATGAAAAAGGCCATCAGTTTAAGATATAAACACGTTTCATTGCAGCTACATACTTTCCTAGTATCTTCGTTATAAGTTGTCTAGTACTTAGTAGATATAATAGAGACCCTGTTGTGACACCAATTGTGATTATTTGTTTAATTTCTAAAGCAATGCAGGTTCTTAATTCAAGCACAAAGTGTAGAAAATCCCACTGCACAGCCAACCCAGCCAAATAAACAAAATGTGAAAAATCCCAATATAAAAAATGTTGAGATTAAATTATATTTATCTAGTTTTCATACTAATACCATGTAATCATGATAAGCAAAATATATGAAATTTCAGTTTTAGGGTGGAATTCCTCCAGATGGGAAGTTGGGATTTGATCACCTGACAAGACTACAACCAGCTGGGTAAACATGGCGTCTGTCTCTGGATGTGAAAATTACATGTAGCGCTACAGGCTGTTAGCGGTGTGTGTGTGTCGCTCAGACGTCTCGCTTTTTAGCCCAAAACACAGAAACGTGGTGGAGACTACGCATGAAGAAATTAAGCTGAAAGAAGAGAGGTGCTTCAATGATGCTGCTGTGAAGAAAAAATTCTCTCTGATCATCATGAAGGGTCTGACGCCAGCACGGAGCCTCTGATTGGCGAAGGATAATTGCTTTTGTTAACAGATATTAGTATTTAATGTGGAGGAGGCTACGTTGAATTGATTTGAGACATATCAAGGATCTTGGACTCTCTTTAGCAGGGGCGCAGTTGGATTTGTTGGGCCCACTATGCTGTGGGACCCCCTTTTTTAAAATGGTATAATCCACTTGCTTTTTCCTTTTCTTAGTCTGGGAATCTCCAGGTTATTTTAACCTCACTGACAGGCAGAATGGTCCACCTGACAGCTGGTTTATGACTTTTTAACTGTGCTGTGTGTTGTGCTTCTGACTGGTTTGATGATACATTCAAGCCTTCAGCTGTTACTCTAAGGGACTTTTATTTTTTTTACCTCGTTTACTAATTTGCGTTGTGCCTTTGTAGTCATCTTTGCTGGACGCCTGTTTCAAGGGAGAGTAGTCACAGTACTAAATGATCCCCAATTGTAGAAATTGTGTCTAACAATGGACTGATGAATATCTAAACTCTTGGAGATTACTTTGTTACCCTGGCCAGTTTTATTGAAATCAACATTTCTTGATCTTCTGAGATCTCTTTTTAGTGAGTCATGTCAGCAGACCCATCTTGTGGATAGCAAATACAAATATTTGAGTGATTATTATAGGTCAAAATATCCTCAAACAACACCTCTAGTCCTTTCCTTTCTCTAGGAATCTCTTACAGGCAGAATGGTCCACCTGACAGCTGGTTTATGACTCTTTCCTGTGCTGCTCTGTGTTTTCTCATGCCTTGCTCATCAACACAACTATGATAGGCTCACCTGACGTGGTGGCTTTCACTAAAGAGGATGATTTTGGGCAGGCAGATCCCGACCCCTGGGCCATCCCCGAGGAGTTTTCTGTCCCTCTATCTCCAATCTCTGACTCCAACCCCTGGGCTAAAACCTCCTACGCCAAGTTCACCAAAGACTTCATCCTCATCTCCGAGTTCTCCGAGCAGGTCGGCCCTCAGCCTCTCCTCACCATCCCCGAAGACCCCAAAGTCTGCGGCACCTTCGACCTCAACTACTTCTCCCTGCGCATCATGTCGGTGGACTACCAAGCCTCCTTTGTGGGGCATCCGCCCGGCAGTGGGTACCCGAGGCTCAGCTTTGTGGAGGACTCCAGGGTGGTGCTGGGAGACTCAAAGGAAGGAGCGTTTGCATACGTCCATCACCTCACGCTTTACGACCTGGAGGCGAGGGGCTTCGTGCGACCGTTCTGCATGGCGTACGTCTCGGCTGACGAGAGGAAAATCATGCTGCAGTTTCAGGAGCTTTCCCTCCGCTTCTCTCAGGCGTCCGAGTGTCTGAAGGCTGGGAACAGGAGGGCGTTTGCCAAGGAGCTCCAGAGGAAGCTGCGGGATCTGGAGTAAGAACTTCCATATAACTTCCTACTTGCTAATATATTATCTGATATCTTTTCAAATCTGTGTTTCAATCATTTAAGTAAAGAGTGAATAGAAAAAACATTGACATTTTGTCAAAGGCATTAATGGACAATCCATTTTCGGGCCCTGGTACAAAAAATTGTTGTTGGCCCCTTTTAGACCCCGAATTATTTCTACTCCTTATTGTGTTTTGACTATGTTTCCACCCTTTTTAATGGATTACTTCTCCCAGAAAATCATCCATTGTGTATCATTTACTCACGCCATGTTATCTTGTGTTCTTGAAGAAAAGCATTGTTTTTATTGCATGCCTCCATGGTGAACAAGGAATTAGGAAGAACAAGGAATAGTCTTGATGAATTGACATAAATGGGGTTTACCAAAAGCAAAATCTTATCAAAACATAAGCTTACAAACTCTCAAACAACTCATGCATTTATCAAGTTGTATGCTCACACGCAACTACCTAAACATATGCATTTTCACCTGAATCTTACTATTTAATACACTTTATGGAAATCAATCAAAACATTTAGAGATATTTTATTCACTAGCTAAATTATGTACCAACAGACGAGTATTACCTCCCTAGAGTTGATTGCATGGTTTAAAACACAACTAGCTAAGGAACCCTAACCCTAATCTCACAGTTTTTGAGGTCCCATGTCACCGGTTTATAGTATTTCTTGTGCAGTAGTTTCCTGATAACGCAGAGGCTCCTCTTAGGAAAAAACACACCCTATATTCCCCTTTCTAATTGTGTTTTTCCTCCCCTCAGGTACACTCACTCGGTGCTGCAGAGGGAGGAGGGTCTGCAGAGAGAGGCTGGGACTCAGCGCATGTACTCCGCTCACGCTGTGGAGAAAGCCAACGAGCTCGCTAACGTGGAAAAAAGCATCTACGAACACCGAGACCTGCTTAGACAGATCAGCTCCTACAATAAACGTCCGCGCCGAGACCCTCAAGCCGTCAGCTGCCAGAGGTGCATCAACGAGTGCTTGATCGAATGCGAGCAGCTGATAGACAAAATATGCAAAGCTTGCCAGGCCTTTTAGCTACAATGACAAAGATGAAACGGGGCAGGCCATCGATGCTGGAGGTGACGAAGAAGGGGATGATGAAGGCGTTAAGCGAAGGCCGTCCTACACGCCACAGCTGATCAAAGCCAAGTCTGCAAAGTGTTTCGACAAACGCCTGAAGACCCTGCCGGAGCTGTGCGACGTTACTTTCTACGACGCCACCGTGACGCTCCTGAAGGACACGGAGAAGGGTTTCCGGGGGGATCTTTGCTACCTTCACACACAACGCCTGGACAAGGCACTACGCAGGAAACAGAGAGTTACCAACTTCCTGTTTGAGGAGGACCTCGGGGATGACGATGAAGAGGATGAAAGGGGGACCCTGAGACCATTCTGTGCTGTGAACCATGCTGTAGATAACGATACTCCTTTAAATCCACCTCATATTGTGCTTGGAACAGAACCTCTAGTGTTGGATGATCTGGAGCCTCCGGATCCTCTCAACCCCGGCCATACTTCAGAGACCGAACCTGGGCTTGTGGAGAGCCATCTGGAGTCCTCCCCTTCAGATCAAACTCTGGAGACTCAAGGGAGCTCAGAAGGGAACAAAGGAAGCTTCAGCAGCGATAAGAGCGGACTGGATCTCGCAGAGAAGCAACTGAATCGGGCTAAATCACAAGCTCCTGATCCTGATTGTGAACTGACCAATGAACCGGACATGGAGAGGGAAAGCAGCAGCGAAGATTTGGAGACAACCGCTGGGGATGATGATGGAGACGGGACTCCTGTGTCACTTCTGGAGGTTGTGTCCGAGCTGGAGGCCAGCAGAGAAGACGAGTGTGAAGTAATAACTGACGGGGCTTCGGATATATTGATTCCTTTGGACTCTGCTTGCTGTATGGCCCAGGAGGGTTTCCTTTACGAAGCTTCTCCAGCAGAGAGAACTCCTTGTGTTGGCCAAAGCTCCAACTCGCAATCCCCAGTTGTCAACCAGGAGCCTCAGGCCCTTCTCCCCCTCCAGAACGACTACACGGTGGGTTCTCCGGGCTCAGAAAGCCCCGCCACTGGACTGGAGTTGCCTGTTGGGCTCCTCGGAGATGCCGTTTCCCGAACCTCATTGGAGGAAGGGTCAGACTGTACCATGAGTGCTTCTACAGGGTCCGATCGGGCTGCTTCACCTCTTGGCTACGGGGGAGTTGTGACCCTGCGCCAGAGGAAGAAGGCCGGACAAGGAGCGCTGAAGTTTGTGCGGCAGTATCCGTTTGCCATGCAGGCGCTGTGGTGTCTGCTGAGCGGCCGCACGCTGGTGGTGCTCGGGGCCGACGAGGGGAGGGTCCGCCGGCTCGTTTCTGCTCTCGCTCTCTTTGTGCCGGCGCCGGGGAAATGTGGCGAGAGAGTTCAAGCCTGGCTGTCCTGTCCCTTCACCCTCACCGACCTGCAGAGGTGGAAACTCATTGGCTTACAAAGGTATTTCCAATTTCTATTAAAAGCATTTTAAGTAAAACTCTTTGATGAAGATGGTGTATGTTCCCAACGTTTCAAAAACCTGTAACAAACTACAGGAAAGAGAAAACCCCTAAAACTATAATAGGGCCCCTTTAATATAAATAAATGGACAGGTTTATAATTTGTCAAATTAATATTGTAATTTATTTAAGTTTGAGCTAACTTTAAGACTTGTTATAATGCAAGGTATTTTTATCCATAATATAATAACAATGTTTTTATTAATAATATAATTCGGCAAATAAACAAATAAACTTGTCAAATACATGCAGAATACATCCAAATACATCCAAAATGCTGTAGCTTTTAATTATTATTATTAAGTAATATTTAAATGGAAATTCTACGGTCAGATAACTGTAACTAAAAGATGTACTAAAAATAAAATGTTTGCTTATAAAACACAGAACATTTGTGATGAATTGTGATAACGTTTTGCTAAACACTGCAAGATTTACTTCAGGTCTTCAACATTTTTAGTTTTTTTTTAGCTAGAAAACCAACTTTTCTTTGAGAATTCAAGGTAACAGTATGAGTAATTCCCTCTTTGTACTTCACATCAAACCCTACTATACAGTTACTCATCCTGTGTGACTCATTCCTCGATGACTCACGCAAAAAACGATTCAACTGTTAACCCTCCGGCCTCAAATCCGTCCTTCAGATTATTTTCCATTTCGCTCATCTTCGTAATGATTGTGGGTTTCAGAGTAATCCAATATTTTTGCCTTAAGAGAAGAGACCACATCTTAATGAACACATTTCTTTGTAGATAAAGTTGTAGGAGTTGAGTGAGTCAGAAGTCAGGGGGGGGGGTCTGGTGGGATTATGACGTGGATTTTATATCCGATCAGAAACCTCTGGGTGTATTTATCATATTGGTTCAGTAGATGCTCATAGCTTAAGATCATGACACCTCTGTGAAATGTTACCCTGGATTTTATTCATTTTACACCAGATTTTCAATTTTGGGCGTCTTTGCGCACAAACCAGTAATGTATGTCATAGCTATTTAGTTGTAGTTAAATCATAACGAGTACAAAAGAGACACACCAAAAATTACAGAATTGTACAGACAAAACATTAAACAAATTATAGGAGGTAAATGTTATATGTGGACCATGATGTGGATGTATATATTAGTGGCTTTAAATTAATGTGTGTGTGTGTGTGTGTGTGTGTGTGTGTGTGTGTGTGTGTGTGTGTGTGTGTGTGTGTGTGGTGTGTGTGTGTGTGTGTGTGTGTGTGTGTGTGTGTGTGTGTGTGTGTGTGTTTGATGATGTGTGTGTGTTGTGTGTGTGTGTGTGATGTGTGTGTGTGTGTGTGGTGTGTGTGTGTGTGTGTGTGTGTGTGTGTGTGTGTGTGTGTGTGTGTGTGGGGTGTGTTTGTGTGTGTGTGTCCCACCCACAGAGTGGCGTCCCCTGTCGGCTCCAGCATGCTTTACTCTCTGTCGCGCTACAGCCGCTACATCTCCATCCTGGACGTCGACCAGAAAACGCTGCGCTGTCCTCCGTACCGAGGCCAGCTGCTTGCCAACATCGCCGACCATCGCACCTCCATCCGCCGCGGCTCCACCTTCTTCCTCCACCTGCAGAGCACGCTGTGTGAGATGGCAGCCAAGGCCTTCCTGTTGACCTTCACCCACCACCTGCACCTCCCCGTCAGCTGCACCGAGGGGCCGGAGGGGGTGGAGGGCCGGCGCCGCTGCTTCCTGCAGGGACAGCTGGGTCTGGGGCACCAGGACAGCCAGATCCTGCTCTACCTCAGCCAGCTCGTCACGCAGCACTACCTGCAACCCGCCACCGGGGGCAGCGCAGCGGCAACCAGCTTCACCTTCAACTACACCACCAGCGTTTTATACAAAATCTGATTTGAACCTGAGGATTCCCACATATAGTTTTAGCAAATATCATCATTGACTCTTTGTTTTTAAATGGACCAAATGAGGATTTTAAAGAGGGCCAGGAAGAACTCTTAAATGGTTTTCGTTTAATTTAGTGTTTAATCTGTCTTTCTCTCTGCCTTGCTGTCTTTTTGTCTTGTCGTCCTTCTTCCTCAACGGGAAGGAAAACGGAGACAGTTGTGAATGTCAGTGAGCATTTGTTTAGCAAATATCATCGTCGACTCTTTGTTTTTAAATGGACCAAAGGATAATTTTAAAGAGAGCCACGCTCAGTTTTATTTCCAGGAAAACCTCTTAAATAGTTATCGTTTTATTTAGTGTGTAAGCTGTCTTTCTCTCTGCCTTGCTGTCTTTTTGTCTTGTCGTCCTTCTTCCTCTACGGGGAGGAAAACGGAGACAGTTGTGAATGTCAGTGAGCATTTTGTCTGTATTTGGTCCAGAACACAATCACAAACCAAACACAGCAAATGAAGGTCAGTCGTACTTATTGTCATTGTGTGTTTTAATGGAAATGTTACTTGCGCTGGCTTGTTTAGGGTCAGTTCCGCCCTTTCTCCTCACCACACACACACACACACACACACACACACACACACACACACACACACACACACACACACACACACACACACACACACACACACACACACACACACACACACACACACACACACACACCACACACACACACACACACTCTGTGTTAGCTAACCACAGCTCTGTGTTGACATCCACCAATCACAGTTGACAGCTATGATAATCTTAGCTATGTATTTTAAGGATTACTGCAACATTCTCACGTACGCTGACATTATCTGCCCGTGAAATCTTATCAACAGGCTTATCACAGCTGGTTTTGTGACATGCCTCTCTTCCAAATCAACCTCCTGAAGCCTATTCCTTTTTTATATTTCTTTTATGAGCCAATTTCAAACGCACATTCCTGCAGCAATCTTCATTTTATATCCAAATAGAGACACAATGTTGGATGTAAGCTGAGTGGATTTGTGGGCATGGATTAAACATTCCTTACCTTAAATTGGTGATGCATGAGAAAGTAATATGTGCTGCGTGAACTACACACGGAGAGCCCCATGTGATATTTGCATGTCCGGAAATCATACTCACCCATGTTGGGCCGGTGTCACTATTAAGAGCTCGCGGAGCATTTTCATGGATATTACTCACACCGTGCAGGAAATGTACTCAAACCTAAATGTAGTGAATTTCACTGTTGTCTTAAAAGTTGTCTGAGAGTGTTGTGGTGTCAGCATGAGACTGTCTTGTGCTCGGGTGAATCACCGTGTTGATAATATTTCTGTTTCGTTGTAATTGGATGAAGATGCTGAAAGAGTTTGAGGTGACGGGGATGATGTTCTACAGAGTTTATTATAGGGGAAAGAATGATTTCCTGTGCCATCGAAAACGAGCTAACTTGAATTAGGACAGCTGCCTATTATTTATTTTTCTTCTGAGCAGCCATTGCTGGATGTGTGATAGGAAACAAAACGTGTGTGTATTTATTGCTTTAGGACAAATTTGGATTATGACCATCATGATAAGTACGCTTCGATTTTCTCTTCGCATTCTGGAGAAAAAAAGGAAATCTTTTACAGGCCTTATTATGCTTTTTGGGGTTTTCCCTTTCCTCTAGTGTGCTACAAGGGTTTTTAGTGCATGTAAATGGTAAAGGCTAAATTCCCAAAATGTCTCTCCCACACACTCCGCCCTCTGCCTGAAACACCTCCGTTGGACTCCTATTGTTTACTTCCGTGACATATTGACACGGAAGTATCACTATCTAACATTCGTGCTCCCAGTGGCTCCAACATATTGAATGTGATAGGCTAAGGGGCGGGACATATCTTAGTATTTGACCAATCACATCCGAGCTGGCCAACTAACCAATCAGAGCAGACTGGGCTCTGGTTTCAGACAGAGGGTGAAAAGAGGTGCTGCAGCACAGGCAGTATGTCACAGGAGAGGAACTAAATACAAATATTAACCAGAAAATCAGCATAATAGGGCCCCTTTAAGTTTCTGCCACATCGGCCAGTTTAACACTTAAGAAGCGTATCGATGGTATTTCCAGATTTGACTAATTCTGTGGCGTCAGTATTGGAGATGTAATTCCGTATCTTAGAATGGTAAATGTACTTGTGACTGCATGGTCAGACGTTTATTGTGAAAGGTCAAAAGAACGTGGCATCGCGGCTGCTGCCCTTCCTGCTTCGAAAAGACACTTTTTAATTTGAACTCACAGCAACCTTACATTTTTAACTCTAATGTAATATTTCAGTTTAATGCTCAATATTTTTTTTGCCAAGTGATGTATTTTTAATATTTCTTTAATGCTTGAATAACACATTTTACTGCTATTTTTTTTAAAGTTTCCTCCCTATAATGCAAAAAGGTGAATGTAATCTGATAAGCCATACCACAGTGTGCTTAACACGTCGTCACTCAGTGTCCTTATGTTGCCATGTCATGCCCACCTTTTGTATCATCACGAGGGGGTGTCGTGCTCACTTGAGGCGGCGTTGATGCCATTGATCTGACTAAAGCACGTTGTGAATGTCTTTGCCGCTTAATGTAAATGTTGATATTCATTTATCCCATTAAATTATTTGAATCCATTTCCTTTTGTGTATGTGGATCATGGTCTCTCTCTCTCTCTCTCTCTCTCTCTCTCTCTCTCTCTGTCTCTGTCTCTCTCTCTCTCTCTCTCTCTCTCTGTCTCTGTCTCTCTCTCTCTCTCTCTCTCTCTCTCTCTCTCTCTCTGTGTGTGTGTGTGTGTGTGTGAGATACTGACAGAAAGCTTCCCTCAGATCTTCAGTAAACACTCCAACAGTCATGTGTGACTTGCTTTGGCGATGACGGATGTGGGAGAGTTGAGGTGTCATGAATAATAAATGCTGTGAAAGCTAATTGCTCTGCTGGAGATCAAGTAGAAATACTCTGTTAGAATGTGAAGTCCTGCATTCAAAATGTATTTCAATTAGTATTAGCATCAAAAGTACTACCAGATGTAAATGGATTCATTATTATGAAATGTATTTATTATAAAATAATTATTCATTCATGCTTTGAGTATCTGGAAAAGCGCCAAAATAAATGTAATGAATTATTATTATGCAGAATCGCTCATGTCAGAATACATCTACTATTGGATTCTTTTTATTGATGCATTCATGTGTTCATTAATTTAATATTGCAACTAGAAAATGTGGAACAAATGTTAATCACATAGTTAAATGTATAATATATATTGATCGTATATGTTAAACCTAAAACTGCGAAGTAATGACTCAAGTTATCCACAAGAAGATATTTGACTCCAAATTGTAATGGAGTAGAAGTGTAGGGTAGTAACACTAATTAAATACTTCAGAAAACTACTTCATTGTAATTTGGTACGGTGCTCAAGCAAATGTACATAGTTATATTACTCTACTGAAAAATATTACAAAAGTGTGGTTTTGGCTGTTGGTGGTGAGGAAAGGGATAGTGCTAAATAAAATTATCAATCTATCAGTAAAAATGTGCGTTATTGTCTTTGATGAACATGGAAAAAGCCAATAAAGTTATTCAAAACTCCCCTCCACAAACAAATATTTTGTTCCTATATTTGAATGTTTGGGTTTCACTTTACAGAAAGATGTTTCTGCAGATTGCCACTAGAAGGATATTTCCATCATAATTCAAGTGAGTATTTCATACCTTAAAGGTGGGGTAGGTAAGAATGGAGAACCCAGCTCGAGTGCGCTAGAATTTGAAAGTACGCAACCAAAAAAATCTGCCCCTTCCTTCAGACTTCCTCATAGAGCCCCTCCTCCAACACACACATGACCAATGAGGGCACGAGCACCAGATGGAAGGCTGACAGGCAGGTAGGCCATCCAGTTACTTTTTATTAATGTATTTATTGTCAAAGCACTTCATGTATTCATTGCTATCGGGATGTTAAGAGCATTCCATGGAATATAACACGTGTTTCTGAAGTGAATTACCTACCCCACCTTTAAGTGAATCATGA